CTGTGCCTATACCTATATGTAGCACTTAATATGGCATGCCAATGAACAAATGTAAATTAGATGAAACTATAGATGGATTGATCATAATAATAATAATAGTCACATTTTTAAAGTGCTTAATACTATGTGTCTAAGCACTTAACATTGTGATATACATGAAGCCAGAACCAGCATCATTAAACACCAAATAACTTCTTGATTTAAAACATATACTTTCACAACTTGATTCTTTTTAGTAGAATCAGGTACTGTAATATGTACATGTATATCCTGCTTGACTTAGGTTTCTATCAGTCTGTTACAATTTCTAATCACAAAATTACTTGCTATGTATGCTTGAATTTGAGTAATATCTTTTACAGTTTTATTATGTTTCTGACAAATAATACATGTATGTGTGTGGCATGAAACCTCTTATCCAAGGTCCCTATATGCAGACCCTGCAGGCTCTGTGTGTGCTATGTAGGGTACATGCTTACAGACAGCCCTTTTGCGGCTGCAATGCAAAGCGTAATCATATTAATTTTTTTTTTTATCTTGGTTGCTTTATGAGATTGCAGAATGACTGGTTTTGGCCAATGCATTTTAAAGTGTTTCTTTTGTGATTTTTCAATCAGCAAGCTCAGACACATTTTAATTTACATCATGCAAACAAACGTGACATCAATCTTGTTTTAATATCGATCGGGGGGGGGGGGGGCGGCACAGGGACTTATTCCCAGTTAGACCAAATCAGAGGTAGCTTTGCTTACCATTGGAATGAACAGATGTTTATTCATGCCCCCTCCCGCCCCTGGATACATTCTAGAACCTTCATTTGTCTGAAATAATTTCAGCATTGTTACAGAGCACAATACGCACCCCCTCCTTATTATGGGCACATGGCTAAAATAAGTCAACAAGAATTCTGTCATCTGTGTAAAAGCCATAAAGAAACTCAACAAACAAATCAAGCTGCGTTTATCAGGGGAATATGCTTATTATTACAAAAGTCATGGCAGTCAATCACACATTGTACCGAGGGAAAGGCCACTGGTAAATGGACACTTGTTACACGGTGTCCTCTGGTCTCTGGAGGATCAAACTGCGGTTTTTCAATTCCACAAATTGTGAACGTTAAAACCCTGGAGCATGGCCTGGTATAGGGTAATATGCATATTGTTTGCTTATTTGCTTGTGGCAGGTATGTATTGTGCAGCACCAGGAGTGTCAATTTTGACAGACATGAGCACTATATAGGAACCCACTATTATTATTATTATTATTATTATTATTATTATCATTATTAAATGTTCCATGTACCTTTATTTTGTATGCACTATGTCACAGGTATGTCATGCTTGAGGTAATTTGAAAAACTGAATCTTAAACATGAGTTCCAACTCTAGCCATCTTTTGATTTCAAACTTATCTTTATACTGTACTGGGCCCGGGTTTGGTGACAGAATTGATTCAAAGTGATGTGAACAGTGAGACAGCAAAACAAATGCAGATTGTATACATTCATCAAAATTAATGTTTTTTTTTATTGATCATATGGCCATTTTAGTCTCTATTTGTTTGTACAGATTGAAAAATCACAATTAAAAGCACTAAACATGAATGTCTGTGTATGGAACTACATAAGAAGGAAGGAAAGAAAGAGAAAAAAGGAAAGAATAATAGTGAGTGGATCAAAATCTGTTCAAAGTGTTGAACTATTACTTACCGGTATCATATTTGAAATGTCAGAGAATTATGATGGCAATCTTTTCCTTGGGACATTTCTCTTCTTCCACATAATATTCATTCATGTAAGAAAGATGAGAAAGCCAGCTCCCATGAACCTTTTCTTTAAAATGCACAATTCTTCTAAAGAGCTGAATCCCAGGAATAGCACTTAAGCTATGAGTATTTTGCATTCGTCTAGAGACATGAGCAACTCATGATTCGCAATAAGCTGGTACCCATTTGTATTTTAAAGGAATAATTTCTATTTTGTGGCATTCAGACTTAATCTTAACTGGATTTGTTTTTTCTTCAAAATCCCATGAACTTTCAAAATGTTTACAGTACTTAAGTGATGCTGTATATTGGACTTGTTTACTAATCCACTATGCATCAATTGAAGGCTTTCAAAAACCTCACCTACTGACTTTTAGGGCAAATATCGTCGCCTGGCCGGCAGAAGGGCGTTAGCTCGAATTTCAGGTCAATAATGAAACTTTAAGCAGAAGGGCGTTAGCACCAAATTGCCTCAAACTTTTATAAAACTGACCTACATGTATTTCCGAGACAAAATTGTCGTATTCTACTTCAACATTTCTATTAGTCTTTTATGTTTTAAACCAATTTTCGGGACGGAAAGCAGTTTAAATATAAAACAAATCTTTAAATGCGAATAATTCAAAAAGTAGTTTTCGAGTCGCTTGCGCGCTAACGCCCTTCTGCCACCCGGCCGACGATATGTGGTGCGAAAATGTGAACAATAACATAATATACAGACAATAAAGTTAATGTCCTGAATTGAGAGATGCCCAGGGAGAACCTTGGTGCTCTGGTGGGCTGGTCAAGTGGTCCACTTCTGCTCTTTATGTGCATTGTCTATTAAACACTCTATCCACATTCAACATGTTTCTAGATAGTAGGAATCCCACTGGAGTTGTGGGAAAAGAGACGTTCTTTCCCTTCCTTTTATGCAAGACAAATCATTCTTCATTGTCCCATTATTCATGTGGGATTAGTCAAGTTAGGGGGGAAATGTAAAAGTAACTCCTAGAGCTTGAACTAATGGGTCCTTGCTAGACATGAATACATTAAAAAAAGACTGTGGCAGTATTTTAATAGATCTGTCTAGGTACATTTAAGCAGTCTTAAGTACTTTCTGTGGGAATTTTGTGTTGCTCTACATACATAGTTACTCATGCAAAGGTGTTAGAACAGCATCTTTTTTTTCTCTTTGAAAAAATGTGCTATTTCTTGACTGTTGAGAGTCTATCATGTTTCTCTGATGTCGTGCTTTATATTTTTGTCATACTCGTATCCATGTTCAGTCTGTTAGGTTTGGTTGTTTTGAGATGAACGATGCTAACCATACTTTTCAAATGTTTGCACTACAGTGTGTAAAAAAAGGAAACAATTTAGTGATCTTTTTAATGAAACCAAACAGAATTAGTTTTACACATAAAAGAGTACTAAAATTAAGTTATGTTTACTTCAGTCCTCTATAATAGATATATTTCTGATCCTCAGTATGCTGTTCACTCTCAAACTGAAAAAAAGATCCTGTCTGAAATCTGCAATTTGTCAAGAAAAAAATGTTACTATATGATAATACTACATGATATTATTGATATTGGATACAGGTTCTGAATGAGGATTAAAAAATGAACTTCATTTTGATATTTTTTATGTGGAAGAAAGTGTGATCAATCATTACCTAGTGTTTAGATACATGTTTTGTTTAACCTTCAAAAAAAAAAAAAGCCAATATCAAGAAATATAAATGGGTATAAAAGTCATTCTTTCACTGTGTTTGTATTCTCTGAGGATTTAAAGATGACACTTCAGAATGTTTGTATTTCAAGCTATTCTTTCATTGGTTGGTTGGTTGGTTGGTTTGGTTTGTTTTACCTGACTGCTAAGAAAGCAAGTGTATGCTTGTGAGTAAGCAGCCAGGGGACCGACGGCTTTAAGTCATCTCTGAGGGAATTGGTAATGAGGATTAATGCCTTACCAAAGGGCACTAGCGCATTGACTTGGTTTCGAACCCCTAGCTGCTCTACCACTGAGCCATTGCGGTTCCTAATCATCTCTTATAAACTAATCTGTCTGTTTTACGTATAAGTATGACATCTGCACTGCACAAGCATTGATAGTTTTCTGAGATGTTATAATTTCTCTAGATTAATACCTCAATTGTCATTAAGAGAAGAAGGATGCTTCCCTGTTCTTCTCTATTCTGTACCTAATAAAAATGCATTTTATTTCTAAAAAAATGTTATTTACAAAAGTAATTATTAATTTCCAATCATGATTGGCAGAAAAAAGTAGCATTGAAGATGTGATGGTGTCCATGCACAACCTTTTTAAGAGGCTGTGCAAATCATACTAGCAATTAGAGTACCATCATGCTATGCTACTCTAAAGCATTGACATCAATTAGCTTCTTGCCGTTGGCAGGCAAGATGGTGTTAATGGTTATGTTTACCGAGCGTGACAATGCGGCTGCTGTCGAACACACTTTCAACTTTGTCCGAAGAGGAGAGGCGTCCAGAAAGAAAGTTGAAAAGGAATTGGATTTTAAAAGAGGAAAATATGTTCTATACCGGTGTCTTTTGATGACAGCTTGCATTTCTCCTGTGTGGTTTAAGTGTGTATGGAGGGAGAGAAAGTATGCTAGTATTGTGTCATGATAAACGGTTTGAAAGTGGCGTTCATTGCTTGCTCTAATTTGGCTCTGGCACATCAAGTTTTTAGCTCATTTGAGTGAAATTATGTTCATATCTAAGGTAGATATAAGTTATATATATACACAAACATGTATATATTTTTATATTGGTGAGAAAAATTTACTTCATATGTGTAATAATTCTTTTCAGAACCTCACCCTCCCCTGCAAGTACAATACATGTATATAGATTATGATACAACCCCTCCCCCACAAAACGTTTTATTAAAAAAGGTGTAGGAAACCTTTGTGGCCAAAAGAAATACTTCACATTTCAGTAGATTTTGGGGCTCTAGCTATCCCAAGCATTCATCTATTAAAACAATAGCTCACAGGACATGATGACCCAGAAAAATATAGCAAGTTATCATTGATAACAAATGTTTGTTTAGAAGCTGCTACATTATGACCTAGGGTAAATGTCTCTCAGGAGTTATATCAACTAATACAGCCTGGCTGAGTTAGACATTAGGGATCATGAATACAATACTGATGTCTTAAATGATTGTGAGTAGATTTCTCCTTGCAGTGTTGCCATTATTCCCTTCCTGTGTTTTCAATTTTCAAACAGGCTCTGCGGAGTTGTGAGAAGACCATCAACCCCATCTATGTATCTGTAGGCCATCGCATCTCAGTGGAGACTGCCATCATCTTGGTACAAGTATGCTGTCAGTATCGCATTCCTGAACCCGTTAGACAGGTGAGTGAGTGAGTGAGTGAGACTGAGAGCATGTATCTTTAATGAATGGAAACAATGTAGGGCAACCCAGGGCAACCCAGGGCAACCCAGGGAATGAAGGTGGGAATAGAATGAATGAATAATACTGTGTGTGAGTAATAGACATGGAAATGAGAGGAAAAGGGTCAACCAATTTCAATTGCAGAAGAGCTACCGATAATATCTCCTTTTTCTGTCCTTCTCACACTACATCTTGAGACTGTCCTTTGAAGCAGTAATAAGAAAAAGGTAGAAGGAGAAGAGGGAGAAGGAGAAGGAGAAGGAGAAGAAGAAGAAGGAGAAGAAGAAGAAGAAGAAGACGAAGGAGGGGGAGGAGAAGAAGAAGAATGAGGGGGAGGAGGAGGATGAGGAGGAGGAGAAGGAGAAGGGGGAGGAGGAGGGGGAGGAGGAGGAGGAGGAGGAGGAGGAGGAAGAGGAAGAAGAAGAAGGAGGAGGAGAAGAAGAAGAAGAAGAAGAAGAAGAAGAAGAAGAAGAAGAAGAAGAAGAAGAAGAAGAAGAAGAAGAAGAAGAAGAAGAAGAAGAAGAAGAAGAAGAAGAAGAAGAAGAAGAAGAAGAAGAAGAAGAAGAAGAAGAAGAAGAAGAAGAAGAAGAAGAAGAAGAAGAAGAAGAAGAAGAAGAAGAAGAAGGGTAGGAGGAGGAGGGGGAGGAGGAGAAGGAGGAGGAGGAGGAGGAGGAGGAGAAGGGGGAGGAGGAGGAGGAGGAGGAGGAAGAAGAAACCCAACACCCATTGATATGTTATCGATGGTATTGAATGATGTTAGTTATTAATAAAGTAATCCTTAAATATTGGTGCTTTCTTTTTAATTGTCTCATTTCAATTATTCTTCTTTGAATGGGGGGGGGGGGGGGAGTGTTCACATGTTTATGATAACATGTTGTAGAAAGTGTATCAATGTGACCTGCTTTGTGCTGGCTAGTCATTTAGATTGCTCCTAATCTTACCTTAATATGATTCTTACTAGGAGATAATGAGAGGTAATGGTAGCATGATCACATTATATTGATGAATTCTTAGAAAATCTTTTGTATTGATCAGTGAAGTGGATGTTGTGATCTTCCAGGTGCTATCAAATGATAACATTTCATCTTGTCAGCCTTGTGAGAAGCCAGTATTGTGTGAATTAATTACGTCTCGACCCCAAAATGTAATTACTTTGATTCAGGTTCACAGGTACATAACTACGCTAACGGAGGAGTAACCTTCCATTTTCACCCACTTCATTGTTAAAATTATATTTCGAGAATGCAACTTGGTATCAAGATCATACTGATGTAATGACACCAAATGCCTTGCCATGTAATAAAGAGGCACTTTTTCTTGCTCACCTAATTTATTTTAGGATTGGGGTGGGAGGGGGGGGGGGGGGTAAATGTTCATACATAAGAGAGTGAATCTATTTTATTATACAAGTATAATACTAATATGATGTGCAGGAATTGAGAGTGATTATGTTTTAGAAAGGTCTGACAAATTTGTGGAAAGCTAAAAAAAAAAAAGAGCTTAGCTTTCAAAAGAAATTTTAAAGAAATATGCATTGAATTGCTGTGAAAAATATTCTACTATTGTTGAAGCAAGTCCAAAAAGGTTTTCTGAAAATAATTGTAAAAAAAGAGACTTTTTACTCTGTATTTCAAAAAGAGGTAATTTGGCCTCTTGAGGGAGCTTGTGTGTCAGGAAAGCAAAGCAGACTTTGATTATTCTTCTTTCATATAATGTTTACATTGTTAGTACCATGGATTTATAACTCCATATTCATGTAAGACAAAAAAGTCATGAGACAAAAATCTGACAGAATTAGAATAGAAGAACAAATGCATACTGTTAGACAGTATGCAGCATGACAGTGTTTGGGGAGCAATGGAAAGATGAACACCTTCAAGAAACATGTATGTCCAGATTTTAAAGCAGATTTAGATTATTATTCTTAAAATGTATTTATAATGTTTGTGGCATGGATTCGGAAATATAAGTCCATAAAAGACAATGAAGTCATGAGATAAAATCTGACCGAGTTTAGAATAGACAGCTAAATGCAGCCTGACAGTTAAAGATCTGTGAGATCTCAAGTTGCAGCTCTCGGGAGAAGCTGATGATTAACGTGAGCTCAAAATGGTGAAATTATTCATGTTTTGGGAGCAATGGAAGAGATAAATATAGATGATTGAGTTTTTAAACTGAATGTAATGGGCAGGTAGTCATACAATACAAAGAAGAAACTCCCCAAGTTCCAATGCATGTTAAAGATGACGAATTTGTGGAGTGCACAACAAAAATATTTTTACCTTATATGTATGTGTTGTATAGAATTACAAAGATATTTTTTCTATTTTCACCACTCCAAAACTGCACACACTTCTTTGGTTTCTTTTCATGATAAAGTTATCAAAGATTCTTTTGTTTATACTATAGATCTATGTCAAAGAGATTTTTATGGATAAATGTTTGTGTTCGGAGCTAGAAGGGCATTAACTCTATGTGTGTAAAAAGCTAACTCCCTTCTAGCTCCAACTGACAATAATACATACTTATGAAATGGGAAAAGATGAATTATCTGGAGACTGATCCTCTTTAAGCTCTGTACGAGTTTTGATAAACTTCTAAGCAAGAAAAAACATTGTAGGGGAATTAACAGGTAATTCAGAGCTCCTGATATTAATAGAGAAGGAAATAAAATTGCATGTCCTAACTAAAAAGAAGTGAATGAAATCATGGTTCACATCTGAATTGTACACACAGATTGATATGACCTTTGTCTCTTTATGATGGACAATAATGTGAAGCAGACAGAGAGATATTGATATCAAATATCCTTGATTTCCATTTAAGATCTTTCATCAATGGTAGTTTAAATTTGATTCTATTTCTTTTAGGCAAGAAATAATATTATCATAGAGTAATGTAGAGTTAATTCAGAGCTTTTGGAATGTTTAGAAAAGTGGATGATTTCCCGGAATGCAAGGAAACGAGCCGACATCCAGCCCGAGACAGTTTCATTATTGCTTCATTTTGCTTGTAACTAAGTATTCTTGGATATTTTATTCATGAGTGAGGAAAGGTGAATAGAAAGGATGCTGTTTTAAGAGCAAAATGATTCTTTAGCTTGGTTTTGAAAGAGTTAAATTTGTAAATTCTGAAAACATAGTAATGAAGAGGTTTCATGAAGCCTATACGTATATGCCATTAAGGCTAATAGTGCTAATCTTTGCCCCAATTTCTCAAGGAATATAACTTAGTGTATTACAGTCTCTCAATGTAAGTGGAAAAACAAGATTAACTTCTGGAAAATGTACATAGCAACATAAATTATATTCTACTTACAGCTTGCATTAAACCTGGAAAACAAACAAGATGCATTATTGATATTAATAAAACCAAGCCTTTTTGAAAGAATTTTAAAGGATAAATTTGCTTCTGTAATCTATTAAAGAAAGCAAAACCTCATTTTATCTATCTTTAGTCATCTTATTGAATACTCTAGTCTACATGTACTCAACAATTCTCTAGGGCAGCCAAACTTTCCTTCTTTCTTCTCTTTGTTCTCTTTGTTTCCAAATCTTTAGTTAGTAAACACCATACAGCTGATGCATTTCATTTGATCAAATTAGGTTTAAAATCTTCATTCTATAAACTAAAACTTTAAGTATTAATGCAAATGCTCATTTCATGAGTGCAATGATAATGGTGTTTATCATGTTCACATTAGTGGCAATACATTCAGTTCTACTTCCACAAATTTTCTGATGCAGTCATTTTCAATACTGTGCATGGGCTTCATTTGGCCAATTTTGCGGCTATGTTTCTTTCCTGAATATTCTGTCAGTCTTGTTTGAAAGCTTTTAGGGTAAATACGGAAATGAGCAATGTCTTATTCCATTTTTACAATCATTCAAAATCTAGTTCATTTCTTTTTGGATAACATGGGGTCATGAAAGCAAACATTTATTTATAAGATTTTCTTGTTGATTTCAAGGTTAAGGTATGTGGAATAAAGTAAGAAAGGCAATCAAAGTGCTAATTTTACCTGCGCTGAAGTTTGGTATGACTGTCCCATCTCGTTTAAGTAATTTGAGATTTGTGCATATCTGCATCTGAAGTCTTTTGCATTCTACCCTGATTTATAAAGTGAACAGCATCTCTTGAAGAGAATGTGTCCTTGCTTGACCCCTTTCTCTAGGTTATACATCTTACAGATTTTGTTTTGTACCATGTCATAAAGATGTGGAGTTCAAATGCAAACATCAAGGCCAGCTGCTTGCAATGAAATAATGACTGGTGGAACCTTGTAATATTACCTTTAAGTTCTTGTTTATTTCACTGAAACCAAAGTAATGTTGTCACATTGTAGGGGTACGGATAGTCTGCTGGCAGTACATGTATAAACATGGACTATTTCTAAGAAATCAGATGTAGGTTGGGTTGTACGTGGGGAAGGCGAATTACTGAGGGCTTTTATCAAGGTTTTATGTCTTTGAGGAGAGCATGATGGGGAATGGTGAATCAACGGTACAAAAAGGCAAGGGAATTATCCATGATGCTTTTTCCATCTCCCTGTGGAATCATGAATTAGGAAGAGAATGTTCAATGTTCATGCATGTAGGGATTAAACTGTTTTTCTTCCGAAGATGGAATTAGGAAGAGCATGTTCAATGTTCATGCATGTAGGGATTAAACTGTTTTTCTTCCGAAGATGGGGATTCATTTCATTGACCGACACCAATAATCTGTGACACATCTTGCAACAGCCCCTGTCATCTGTCGTGTATTAAAACCAACAACAACAAAAATCACAAAATTTTAAATCAAGATTCTAAAATTTCCAAAACTATTGGTGCAGTGAATTGGCTGAAATGCACATTACCAAACCAATCACTTATAATGATCTTGCCATACAATATTGGCTCACATTGCTAATTACATGTACATGTACCTCTTAGATCATGTATTAAAATTACAAAAACAT